CATCTCAACAAAAACCTGTATCTGTTCAATCCACTAAAGTTGAGGATCCTTCTAAAAAATCCAGCTTCTCTAATTCGGAATCAATCAAGGCCTGTCTGCCATTTTGGTAAAAAACCTGGTCATGTTATGTTCAATTGTTGGTGTTTGAAAAAGAAAAATGAATAGGAAGCAACAACAAGTGCATTTGTGTCCACATATGGACGTGGTTTCATCAGATCACCCAATGTTGTTGATATGGCCTCTGATATAAAGGCTGATGTAATCAGGAAGAAATTTAAAACTTTTGTGTCTGTTGGTTCTGTGTCTTTGACAAATGACACTGGCAATCCCATACCCATGCGCATTGTATGTGATACTGGGGTGACTCAGTCTTTGTTGTTAGAAGGTATATTGCCTTTAGATTCGAGCTCTGCCACTGATGAGTCTGTTATTGCTCAGAGTATTGAGGGTGGCCTTTTTTAATTTTCCTCATGATAACATTTATTTGGCATCAGACCTAGTTTCAGGACAGGTTGTGGTTGGAGTAAGACCTACTCTGCCAATTAAGAGTGTATCATTATTGTTGGGAAACGATTTGACTGGAGGAAAAGTTGTTGCCGAACCTAAAATGGTTAGTGAGCCGATCACTGTTTTATCTTAGGATGATGCTGTTGTTGAGGAGAATCCCAATGTGGTTCCCTCATGTGCTGTGACTCGAGCTCAGGCTAAGAAATTAAGCCAAAAACAAATGATAGACATGGATTCAGAGGATGATATTGTAATTTTGTCTTGCACATTTTTTGGAACCGACGAGGATCTTGTGGATAATTGTCCTACTGATGATTCCTCGGTGAAGAACAACGACAGACATGAGGGATCTGATTCACCTGGTACAGTTCCCAAAAGAAGAACTGGAGAAAGTTCCAAATGGTTATTTTTTAAAAAAATGGGGTGCTTGTGAGGAAATGGAGACCACCAGATGTGCCAGCTTCAGAGGACTGCACTATTGTTTATCATATCGTTGTTCCCAAAGCATATTGTTTTGAAATATTGAAAGTTGCCCATGAACTCCGCATGGAAGGTCATTTAAGTGTCAACAAGACATGTGACAAAATT